GAGGCTTTGATTCTGCAGGAAGGTGCTGTGGGGCTGGAAGAGAGACAGGTACCAGCCAGACCTAGACGCGGAGTGTTTGCTGTGGTGAAATAATAAACTTGTTCACTACAGATAAGTAGGTATAAGTCAGCCCAGGCTTACCTTGCTTATTAGACAACCCACTCCTCCTCTAGATTTCTCCTCAGAATCCTTGGGTAGATGACCCATTTACTCCTCTTTGCAGACAGTGTCTGTACAAAATGTTTGAGAACTAATGACCTGTGTTGTAGCTGGTGGGAGTCACCCAGAAGCCAATCAAAGAGCAGAAATCATGTTGTTGGACTCCAACATGTGTGATTTCCCCCTACTTTCCCACATAACATTGAACTCTTCTCTGGGCAAAATTCGATAAAACGGAAAATCGCAAGGACTGGGGAGGACGTGGAGAGAGAGGAATACTTGTACCTTGCTGGTGGCACTGTTGTACGAGTAGGGCGCTTCCTTAAACAAATGTGAATTCAAGTGCGTTATTATCCATCAATCTCTCTACCACGTATACTCCCTAAAGAAATAAAGAATGTAGCATGAACAGACATATGCACACCCATGTTTATTTCAGCCATTTCTAGGCGAGCAAAAACAACTCAAACCCCAACTACAAAGGAATGGATAAACAAGCTCTGGTACATTCATACTAAGGAATTTTATTTTTCAGTGAAAAACAGTGATAACTCTCTTCAACAATGCGAGGCCTGGTCAAAACTAGATAATATTATGCTTAGCAAACTCAGTCAATCCTGCAAATGTAACCATTGTTATAAAGAAACACGAAGAAGAAATGTGGTTTATACACCAATAGACAAGACTTTGACAACTACGAAGAGAGGGGTGGGGCGGGCAGGGAGGGGAGAGGGATGGAGGCAGGACACTCCCTCCAGGTTCCTGACTCCTCAGATCTGCATTGTGGTCTGAGGGGCTAAAAGAGGAGGAAAAGTAAAACTGAAGTGGACCTGGAGTCTTTAGTGACATACAAGTTCATTTCCAACACAAAGAGGAAGAAAAAGGATTAAAAAAAGGAGTGGTCGTTTCTGCTTCGGAATGTTCTATGGAATTATAGGCTAAATAGCACATACAATAATTGTCATTTCTTTTGACCAAAAAACAATTGCAAATAGGGCTCAAGAATCCTGGCTTTAAATAGAATTTTACTAAGACCTCCTCCCACCCCACCCTTACGGCAATCTCTGCCACTTGGTCTTCTAGGCCATCTTTTGGGGGGGAGAACTTCGCACTGTACAAATTGAACTCAAACGCATACTAATTCTAGACTCTGTTTTAGGGAAATGATTTGCATCTTTACCATCATTTCGATGTGACAGATGAGTAAAAGGAGTCACAAAGGTGTTGCTTGCTCAAGATCCTCAACTCACAAGCAGAAGCTGCTAGTTTCCTATCCTGTCAGAGTAAATGGTGCTGCTATTTTTGGTTCAGTGTTCTTTTCCATTTCTGCTTATCGTGATCAGAGAGAGAGAGAGAGAAAGAGAGAGAGATGCAGCTAGCAGGCTACAGTTGTCGGTGGTGGTCGATTGGGGTCGTGAGTAGGGGGGATTGTTTGGTAAAGCCCCATGTAACAAGAGAAATATAAAATATTCCCAACTCTGTGTCAGGAATCACAATGAAAGCTGTAGGCTTCATCATTCTTTAATCACTTGTCAGAACCTGTTATCTCCTTCATGCTATGCCTTTTGAAAAGAGCCAGAGGTGAATCAATCTCACCAGCAATGAGGAACACTCATTGGCAAAGCATTTAAAGAGTGTGGAAAGGGGCAAAACTTATTTTAATCATTTAGGGAAAAATAAGAATTCTATCTATATGCTAAGAAGAGTAATACCATAATGGGATCTAACACTCTAGTGGTAATGAGATTAAGGAGGAATTTGCCATTGACAGGAAACGGGACACTGTGA